CCTCTTCAGTATGGAAAGATGAAACACTGCATCGCAAGTTTGAGAGCTCAATTATCCTGAATGATTGCTCTCCGATATTTGCAGTCCTTAAGTGGTCGTATAAGAGCCACAGGATCTGCCTACTCTTGATGCGATTGTTGGAACGTTGAGCGGCTTCGGTGAGACGATTAATCTTATCGATGATGGCAACAGTCTTGATGCACTTCCGAATGGCTGCATTGAACCTGGCTTCAAGGATGTGGTATTTACATTCCCCATCCAGTTCATCAAAGGTCTTTGCCTTCTCGACTTCAGTTAGCCAATTGATGACGTAAAGTCCATCATAGCTGTAGGCATTGCTAACAGCTTCCTTCATATTGGCTATCCATACCCTCAGCCCAGCCGCGTCGGGCTCTGGCGGGAGGTCTATGGGAATGCACTTAGTCGCAGCTGTGCAGTTCGGATCATGATGGCTACTGTATCCGCCGCCACCAGTTCCGAAAAGATGCTGTGGAACCTGAGAACTACCGATTGACAGTGCACATACAGGACCAAAGGCGAGTAGCCTTCGGAATGCAAATCTCACATGCCCTTTTCATGCATATCTTACATTCCCCAATTTTGCTGGGGTCAGGAATATCCCGATCACACATCCGACAGTTCTTGTCAGGAGGATCGGGGCCACGCATGGTCGGCGGCTCAAGGCCTGAAGGATCCCTCGGCCTTGTACCGTTGGGATCAAATCCTGGATAATATCCGGTTTCACGTTTATCCAGGGGCACAGGTTGCGTAGCCTTCGGAGGGCTCTGAAGGTCAACCGCGTTGGGTTGACCCCCAATGGGAGTGTCACGGAATCTGTCAACGGGTGGCCGCAGAGGCGGCGAGTACGACCGCGTCGGGTTCGTCTCAGGCGCGCCTCCAGGAGATCTATTCCTGACACGGTTACCATCGGGATCCCTTCTTCTCCTAGTTTCGTCCCTAAGGCACGCAAGACAACAGGGACCCTGGACAAATCCAAATCTCCTGTAGTCATCCTGCCCAGCAGAATGTCTGGTGCAGTAGCAGGTCCGACAAAACTGACACTCAATTCCCTTGGTCAGGAACGAGCTCTCCCTACAGACACCGCATCGGGGTCCGTTACGGGAACATTCTTCACACAAATTCTCTTTGAACGAGAAACAATACTCACAAATATCACCTCTGCATCCTTTACAGTGAAACTCAGCCATGAGGTGATTATTTCCATCACCTACGTATTTACACCTGGGTTTACCAGGGTCGCCAGGGTTTCCACCGGCAGCGCTCTTCCTCCCCCCTCCTCCTGGGCTTTTTCGATCTGGAGGAGGAGGTGGGGGAGGATCATCATCAGGAGGGCCAGGTGGAGGTGGCCGCTTATCCGGAGTACGGGACGCGGCACGCCTTCCTCCTGTGCGATCGTTCAATCCACTACTTGAGGCCTGGTTCGAGTGCCTTGACTCGAGGGAGTTAATTCTCTGAGCCGTATTACCCAGCACCTCGAGCATTTGCTCGAGCTTACTGTTGAGCGTAGTCGAAACGGCCATGTTATGAGTATTTTGCTTGTCCGTGTAGGATTTGCAGTCCCTTGACTTTGTCTCAAGGTTGGCTTGTGTTTCATAAAGTTGGTCTTTAACCCACTTTATGCCGTCCCTATTATTGGTCCAGCATCGTTCGACATCCTGCATCATCCTATCAATCTGACATACCCTAGTGGACAGGTCCTCGATTTTGAGGTTTACTCCACCAATCGCAGGATGGTTGGATTGGCTCTCCACTAGAGATCTCTCGATTGCATCAACACGAGCTATAAGCCCGGTTGCTCGATCAGAAAGAGATTCAAAAACAGTCTGAACCTGGGTGATGGAGCGAGCAACATCATCATAGCTGGCTCGCTCATTTAGGGCATCGCCTATGCTTGTCATGCGATTGGAAACGATCCTGACGCGTTGGCCAAGCTCGGTCACGATGTCCTTAGTCCCTTGTGACAGCTGCATAGCCGCGTTCGCAGCCTGCGTACACGTGCTACTCACATGGACGCATTGGTCGTATTTGGCCCTCCACGAGTTAACCTCAGTGGAGAGCTGCTTGATACATTGATCACTTCTATCATTCCTACGCCCAAGGTCTTCGACCTTAGCAACCAGGCGATGAATGATCGCACTCACCGAAGAGTCCACTCTCCCTCTTTCAAGGGCTGTTACAAGATCAGCAACCTCGTTGGGTTGCTCCTCACTCGCAGGACCAAATCCTGATCCGCGATCTCGAGGAGTGGATAAATCAACCATGATTGGATTAGATCTCGGAGGAGTTCTGAAATTATCCTGCACGGCCGTTGATGGCCGTGGGAACTCACTCCGATTAGGAGATTGACTCTGATACGGAGCAGATCTCCTAGCATCACGAACCGCAGAGGGTTGTGTCATGCCCAGGCCTTTGGCCACGGACAGTTTAGGAACAACAGGCCTATCCGTTCGCATAGGAACATCAGGTCTCGAGTCAGCAATAACAATGTCATTCAAGTCGGTCGCATTGGACACTCTAGACTCAGACATCGATTCAATATCAGTCGCATTACTGATGGTATGATTGCGACTAGAACTTGATGCCATCATGGACTCAGATTCTATCGGAACATTAGCTCCGTCCACGTTGTCCAGGGCGAAAATGGAAGCCGCGTTGGGCGTAGGGCGAACGCCTTGCGCGTTCAAGCCACTTGACCTGTTAAATTCCTCCTGGAATGCTTCGATCCCATCAAGCACGTTAACGAGTGTGTCCGCGTTTAACGGGTCTCTACCAATGATCGACGCTGGGTCACCTGATCGACCGCGTCCTGAGTCCCGCGTATTGGGGTTACCCCTGTGGGCAGTTTCTCGATCCATCCCCCTTGCCCTATGCGATCCAGTCGAATTTGACCTTGATCGTTTGCTTGGGGTTGGACTGGGATGCAAATCCAATCTATCTACGATATTACGCTCCCTAGGGCTCTCAAATCCTGAAAGTCCTGGGGGAGGGGACATGTTCCTCATGGTCGGGTTTACCGACGGTCTTGGCCTGACGTTACGGCTGGCCACGTCAGGATTGAGATTCTCAATCGACAAAGGTAGCATGAATTCATCGCTTCCAGCAGCCCGTTTTGGGCTTTGGAATTGCGGGAAAGATGACGGGGCGGGTGGCCCTGGCATCCATGCGGCAAAATCCATACCAAAAATGTTTCCGTCGTTGGGCCATGAGGCTCTCCAATCGAGCCCACCGGATTCGGTCGGCAGATGAACGTCAAATGCAACTCCACTGGATGTACCAGGTTCGGGATTACCGAGCGCTTGAAAAGCTACACTGCTGGTTGGCACAGGTCTACTGCTACCTCGAGAGTCACGAAACTCGGACTGACCAATATTCATCAGCTCCGGGAAAGATGAGGATTGAGCTCCAGGTGCAATACCGGGCTCGTCATCATCACGTCCTGAGACGGAATCATCATGGTCAGGACGATTAGCCCCATGACCCTGAGAGCGATTAGCTCTTGAGGCATTAGACGATAGGTCATCAGTGCGAGTAGCACTGGACCTTCCTGAAGGCATTGCTTCTGAAAAAGTGTGGTCCGACAAAAAGTCAGGACCGGAAAACATCGGCTGTCCGGGCACTTGGTCGTCATTCACAACGTCCAAGATTCCGGCCTGGCCAAGAACCCACTCATCGGTCACCACATGAGGTCCATCCTCTGTGATTCCCGCCATGAGTCCTACAGTAGCCTATGGAAAACGGCGCCTGCAGGGTTGTTATTAAATGGGGTTCGCGGTGCCAACCGAGGACGAATCCTACGGCTGATAACCTGCGAAAGGGTTTGAAACAGAGTTTCGGGAGAGAATAAACAGGCCCAATCCCACCAACAAGAAGAGATTGTTTAAGTCCCCCAGTCCCAAGGGCAAAGCGGTGCCCCCGGCTGGCACAACCAACGAACCAAAACAGGGTGCCTTTGACCAAATGATGAATGAACCCAGCAAGGGCAGAGACAACCGAAAGCGAGCACAAAGCAGCAAACCAAGCAGGCAAACAATGCAGCGCACAGTGAGCAAGGCAAACCAATAGCGCAATCCCCAACCCCGAATCCTGACCCACCACCAAGACCACCCAGCCGCCGTAGTGCGGAGCGTGGGGCACAACCTCCCACGCGCCGGCACAGCGCCGCTGGCAGCAGTTTTGACGCGATGGCAAGATGAAGTCGCCGGGATAAAAGCTTGAGCCAAACGGCGCATTGGCCGTGGCGTTGAAACATGTTGCGATAAAACTACATGCCCCCAAAAACAGAAACCAAACGAATCCTTAAACCCACCCTAACAACCCACCCTAACAACCCACCCTCACCCCACCCCAAACCAACCCTAAACTTGCACTAAGGAGCTGAACAACGGCCCTGTGAAGAAGTGGGGGGAGGGGGAGCTCCCTTGATGAGAAAACAAATAAGGACAGCAATGGAGAAAGCAAGATGCTCCAAGAAAGCCAAAAAGCCAAAAGCGCGGTGATGCTGTGGGTGGTACTCGTGATGCTGAGGATGGAAAGCCAAAGCCACAAAAGCCACCAGAAGCCAAGAAAAATCGCAAAAAGCCACAACAACATAGCTTCCCCAGAGAAAAACAAGCGTGCTGAAAAAACTCAAATCCTGAAAACATAGCCCTCCGGAATAATGCCAGAAACCTATCGCCAATCGCCAAGGGATCAAAATCCAAGGCACCAAGGAACCAAAAGACCCGCTTGGTCCATGGGACCAAAAGGACCAAGGGACCAAACAGCCCGGGGACAAGAGAGCACGAGACTACAAGCAATGCAGGGGAATTATGGAAAGTGTGGGTTTGATTGCTAAAAACTTGCTTTATTGATACCAACTAAAACCTTGGCTTAATTGCTAAACAAGTTGCTTTTGATGGTCATTTTCAAGTGCTGGGCGTGCTGGAGGTGTGTGACATTCATTTGTAATGGCTGTGTGCAGATTGTCAAGCTCAAACTGCCTCCAGGAGATGCTCGCGAAGCACTTGGGCGCAATGCTCCTGTCAAGGCATTCGCCATTCTTTACCAGGTGCGTCGCTTGCACTGGACGTTGCCAAGATACAGTCAACATGTCAGGTCTCAAACTTGCCTGGCGGCAACGTACCCATCTGACCTGCTGTTGTGACAGGCCAGGAGAGGACTCTAGATGTTGAAGATATACGGGACAACAGGATTTGAAGCTTGCCAGCTGAACACAAATGCTCCAACCAAAAATATGTTGATGGATCATAATTGTAATTGTTTAGTGCCTGCCAGCCTTGACTGGAGCTGTTCTACGCGACCATCAGTCAACCATTCAACCACCCAGATTCAGGACCCACCAAAACCGCTCGGTTTCCCCCTAGCGCCCAGGTGAGCTCGTAATAAGTGATGCAAATCAATCCACCATCAGGCATTGAATCTCAATAGTATTAGGATGTATTGGGCAAGCCCCCAAAAAGTGGCTGATGGACGCAAATGTAGCTGAAGTCCAAGGATTCCAAGCATCCATTTCGTGGATTCCACTGTGATTGTTTCGCCCTCCTGGCTGGGCTTTGACCGCCGAAGCTTCTGGATCAAGGCCTTGGTGACAAAACTGCTAAACCTGCGAAACTTTGGATGCGCAACGGGACAGAAACCATCAAAACAGCTTGGCAATGGCCAGCTGTTGTCGTCCATCCGCAGTCTGATGGATGCTGGCTTCTGCATTGCAAGCACGGTGGTGTCGAGGTGCTATCAGCTCCCGATACACACTGTCCATTGGATGATTCCACGTGCCTTGGCAGAAGCTTCTGCAAGGAATCGCTACCAACCAGGTACACTCGCCACATCAGCTCAACAAGTCAACCTGTGGGCAGAAGCTACTGCAAGCAAGTTGCTTTCGCCGGTCACATAATTGTAATAATACACCTCAGCTCAAGCAACAAAACGCGGAGCACGCCTGTGCATGCCAATGGGCATCAATGGGCAAGTACTGGGAGGCGGAGACTGATTGGGGCCGACAATGACAGCACGGCACGTTGTTGCTTGCCGGGGATTGCCGGAAATTGCTGGTTCAATCAAACTTGTCACGCGGGAGTCCATGCCAACAAACATTCGATGTCCTGACCACTGGCCCACCCTGGCCTGCTCCAATAAGCGCATGTGCGGCCTCTGCGTGCGTCTGAGTTGCCCGGTTTTCGTCGTCCACATGTTCCGTCCAGCTGGCCGGCAGAGGCGCGTGGAAGGCCTGCTGCACCACCCAGGCAATGTCAGGGTCCTGCACTGAACGCACTTTGCAGCAACTTGGAACATTTCTGGGGCCAACCCCGTCTATAATTTGTACTTTTTACTGTGGCCGACTATGATTGTTGGAGAAAGAGTAAAACATCCGTGGTCGAATGCCAAGCTTCAATCCGAAACCCTCGCTGCTGACCCATATCTGTCACCAAAGATTCATTTGTCTCGCTGCTTGCTTCGAGCCCATCCATCAGCCCCTCCTTCATATCGGCGCCCAAACCTCAGATGCATATCAGAACACATGCCAAATCAACATGTTGGTGGCACGCTGAACGCCGGCAAGTCACTTCTACCATACTCAGACCTCAGCTCAAAGCAGCTGCCATCTGCGCCGAAAACAGTAACATGCCAAACGATTGCACACCGCAATTGCACGCCGCAAAGCACGATAAGACCTGCCCAACAATCAATGCTTGACGGGCAACAAGTCCGGGTCAGGTGGCAAAAGGTGCTGCCCCTGCCAGGGCAACAAGCTGATCAGCAAACAGCAGTACATGAGAAACAGTTTACAATACAACAATCTTCGACAGGCCGTACTTTATCTACGCCGAGCCTTGTCACTCACCAAGTCGGAATCATCACTTAGACTTAGTAGGCTGTCCTTGCTCGGCGAGTATGAAAAACGCAATTGCGGTGAGCATGGAGTACACTCTTGGCCTTCCAAGGCACAGCCTCTGAATCAATACTTCTCCGTCCCATGGCAATGGATCATTTGCCCCGCCCATTGTCCACTTACCCGGCCCGTCATGCAAGCCTTGAGCCCCAAGACCGGCCAAACAAACTTCGATAAACCATGCAGCGGTCCGCGCCACCGCAGGAGTGACAAGCAACCTCCAAACTTACCTTCAAGTACTGCCAGGATGCTACAAAAGCCTTGGTCAACGCGCTATGCCGGCTCGGCATGCCGATGCAATTGCGCAAATTGTTTTTTTGCTTTTCTCTGCACACTTCTTTGCGTCTGCCCATGCGGGATTGCCTGCGCTATGATGCTTGCGCGGCTAGCTAAGGGCAGGGCCCCGCGGTCACGGGTGGGGGGGGGTTTTGGGCGACCTGTCCAGTCGGCAGACGGAAAAAGGCGTGCGACAAATGCCGGGTTCTCACGTGCGTCGACGCCTCTTGTCAACGGCTGTCCGCCGGATCGAGGGCGGCGCGCGTCTCGCTCGGACCAGGTCAGCGACATGACGGCGTCGCGGCCCCAGCGCCCGCCAACCTCGCTAGCGAGAACGCAAAGGTGGTGCGGCCCCGGGGGCCGTAGCTTCGGGTAGGCAGCGAGCTTATTGCGCTGCTCTGCCGCACGCAACGCCGCGCCGTCGCAATCGGCGGCTCGCGCCTGCGCCTAGCCTTCGAAGCTCAAGCGAGACGAGCGTGGCATCGCAACACACCGTGAACGACGACGAGGTCCCGGGGCACCAGGTTTGGCCCGCGAGCGCGTCCACAACCATGGCCGGCGGAAGATGGGCAAGGCGCAATGCGACCAGCACGCGGCTTGGCAAGAGCGAAGTTGCCTCATCGCTGGGGATGGCAGTGAGCCATGCCCCCGCATGGGGCCCTCCGTGGGAGCGGAGCATCGCTTGGCAATCTGGGCTGAGGGACAGCAGCACGCGCTCGCGAAAGTGGTTATGCAATGCGAGCAGCGTGGAACTGCCATCCATGCGGCCAGTCGCCCGCTCCGGCGGACCGCGGGGCCTCAGGACGCGCGCTCGCAGCCAGGATGGGGCGGGATAGCAGGCCGCAACAAGACCTCCGCTGGGGAAGCTTCGTGCAGGCAAACGATTACACTGCGATTACTGTTTGCCCAATCCGGCTGCCTGGCTTAAGCTCAGGCAAAGCGTCTGCCCAGGCGGCCCACTACCCCCTTGGGCAACCCTAACTTCATTTGCGGTTGTTGCGGGAGATTCCAGAGCTGTGCGTGGCTCGCGCCATATGCCGAGGAGCGCGAGAAGGCGGTGTGGCAATCCTTCGACACGTGCATCCGAGCTGCGGCTGACAAGCCTGCCAACCATTTGGCGTTCTCACCGGCCACTATGGAAGGACTTACGCTTCAGACGCCGCACGCACAGCTCCGGCGGCTTCCCAGGACGACAAGGCCTCGCTGAGCAGGCGGCAGGTTTGCCCGCCACACGGCAGGGCTGAGCTCGGCCAGCGTTTGTCACCTGGCTGCGGTCTGACTGGTCTGGCTGCAAACAAACAACCAGTAAACTTGTAAACAAATAGACTGATACATCAAATTTCCTTATTAAACCGCTTACTCGCGGACCTTACAATTCAATCCATTTCCTCCAAATCTGATGCGAACCCTCAGATTGTTGGAAAAGCAAAAAAAACCAACCCCAAAAATCCAAATTAAAAAATATATATTTTTTGTGTAGATTTATTTATAATAGGGGGGCCGTATTTATTAATAGGGGGAAGAGATCACGCGCGTGCTCCGGAGACCTCTCCCCGCCACACCTTCGCACACGCCGCCTCGCGGCGGTGCTGCGCCTGAGACCCCGCATCCTCGGTCGGCAGACGGGTGCCGGGGCGAGAACCGTGGCGCGCAGCCTCCAGGAGAAAGGTCGCGCACTTGGCGCAGCAACGCTTCCTTGCCCACGGGTCCCGCCTGCGCTGGCCGCGCCAGCAGCATGCGGCGGCGGCTGACTTCTGGCCCATGCTCGCGATGCGACCGATCAGCGCCGCCCCCAAGGCTTGGCGGACCCCGGTCTTGCAGGGTGGGCAGGGGTGCTCAAACTCTGCAACGAGGCTGGCAGCATCCAACGAGCTGCCAGGAACTTGCCGGCCAGCGCCGAGTCGCGGCGCCTTGCCGATTGGGAGGGCGGCCTGCTTTTGTTTTCTCACGCCTTTTTGCTCCTGCTGTTTCAGCTTGTCGGCGCTTAAGGGGCCTCGGGCATCAGGGGTTTCCCCTCTGCAAAACGGTTGCGGGGGCCAGCCCCCCTCGTGCCGGCACTGCCGCGTAGGTGGATTCCCTGCGACGCCGGGCCTCCTGCAAGGCAATGGGCCGGGCAGGGTCTCACAAGGAACGGGCCACACCACTGGCTGTGAGTGGCGACGCAATGGTCGTGTCGACCGCAAGCTGCGTGCAATGACCTCGATGCGGCGGTCATCGAAACGAGCGACCGCCGCATTCAGATCGCGCAAAAAAGTGTTGCACGTGACACGGGCACCCACAACTCCGCAAAGCACCAACCAGACCTAGCGCAGGCTGTCCTGTGATCGCCAAGAGGGTCGAGAGGGCGACGACACCGGCAGGGCAAAGGGAGGCGCGAACGCCGCGTCTCGGTGGCGGGGAGAGTTCGCTAACTAGCCCCAACAAAAAAAAAAAAAAAAAAAAAAAAAAAAAAAAAAAAAAAAAAAAAAAAAAAAAAAAAAAAAAAAAAAAAAAAAAAACAGGCTGCACGGGCGCTGGCGCAAGCGGGAGTCCGTTGCTCGGAAGCGTGCCGAAGGCCTGCAAGCCCTGCAGGCCTGTTAAGATTTGCGGCGTTGGCCCCGGACAAGTTAAACCGGCTTGCTTGCGCTTGCTTGCGAGGGACTGAGCAAGGCCTAGCTCGGGCAGGGAGCTAGATGAGCCGGGAAGCCTCAGGGCCCACCGGTCCTGAAGCGCAAGCACGACTGAGCTGACTGGCTGGGGGGGGTGCTGCTCCGGGCCGCCAATTGCGATTTAGGACCAAGGCAGAACCGCAAAAACTAACTTGTTTTGGACCTGGACAAACCAAGGGCTTTTCCATTGAGAATCAAGCTCGCACGGCTGCTCGGATAGCGGCGCTAGACCCCTTCCTTAATTCCAAAAAAACGGGTCCCCCAACCCAGTATTCATTTTGAGCTCTGTTCTGGTTGAGTTTTCGCTGTGCACCCAAAATGCCGCGCCCGCGTCAAGCTTGCGGCACAGGGCGCTGAGCAGGCCAAACCACCGATGGACATAGGCTGACCGAAGGACCGGCTGCAAGGCTGCAAACGCGGCGCAGCCCCGGGCACTAGGGCTAAAGTTGCACGCCGGCGAATGCAAGATTTGAGCCGGTGAGGGTCGGGTGCTTGACCGGACGCGGCGGGCTGCACCGTCGAAACGGCTAGCACGGCAAGCTGGCAGCAAGTGCGCGCTGCACAGCCGTGGGGGGCAGGGACGCCCAACGCCTGATGTAGGTTGCATTTAAAACGCTGCGCATCCGCCGTTGGCGACGACCTCAATGCGACGTCGAGCCGACTAGCTGCGGAGGCTCGTGTTGGACACTTTGCGCAGGCAGTCGTGTAGGAGCAGCTCGATGCCAAGTGCGCGTGGATGGCAAGCCGTTTTTTCCGAACGCCTCCAGGCTGATCTTCTTTTTTTGTCTTCAATGCACTTCGGCCAGCTCTTTCGGCGGCTCCTTCCCTTCCGGCCACTTGCGTGCCCTCTGTTTGCGGCGCCTTCGTCTAGCTTTGCCTCTGCCCGCTCAGGATTGCCAGTGTCATCGCCCTTTTGACCCTCCCCGCGACCTCAACATGCCGACGCGCATCTGCGCTGTGGGCACACTGCAAGGGCGTCCAGCTGGGTTGCGACACATTGGGGAGTGTGCCAGGAGCTTAGCACCTTGGCGACCCCCGAACACCGGTCTGAGCCGACATCATTATCGAGGACCAGCTGCGGGCGGCGCCTTGAGGCGCGAAGAGAGCTGCCGTCCAGGACTGACGAGCAGAAACCCACAAAGTGGTGGCAGGCCCGGTCGGCACTGACGGCGTTTGCGGTGGGCGGGGGCGGGTTGGGGCTGCCAGGGAGTCGGGACACGTCAAGGAGTAGTTGGGCCCAACGTCCCCCCCTCCTGGAAGGCTCCAAGCCATATTCGCTATTTTTGTTTTTTGGGAGCCGGCGTTCTCCGGCCGCCGCTATGCTGCTCAAGGTCTTGGGCGGGCGTGATCAGGGTGGCTGTTGGCGGTGGAAGTTGGCAGCGCTTGGGCTGCGATCCTGGTCCGAGCGCCATGGTCGGCGCAGGTCAAGCAACTTTGCGCTGGGTGTAGGACGCTGCCGGTGCTCCGTCATGGCATGGAACTTTGGGCCGTCACGACAGGCGGGGCGGCCACCTCAAACATGGGACTCCGTGCTTTTGTTGGTGTAAGACGTTGTTTGGCGTCTGTGTAGCGCGTAATTGTTCGTGGCCACTGTATGCTCATGATGCTGCCAAATTCATTGCGGTGCTGCTGGCGTCATGTATTTGTTTCGCGCGCCTTTTTCCTTCGACGGAGGGGCTGCTTGTCAACGCAATGCGCCTGATGGTTTGTGGCTGTGGTATCATCGCGATGCTGCCACAAAGATCATGATGCCGCTAACCTCATTGCGCGCTAGGTTCATGGGCGCCGGGGGCGCGCACGTAAAACTTCGAACGGCAGCCCACACAAGCGGGGGCAAAGAAACTCTTCGACGCCACGCCGCTGCGGAACATTCTGCCCGCAGGTCGCTGCAAGCCTCTCCTGCGCCTGGAGGCGTGTGGGCAAGCTACGGCGCAGGCGTGGCCGCGGAATGCAGCGCACGCTCGTGAATAGCCATTCGGGAAACGCTGCCGTGATTCTGAAGCAATGCCACAAGCAACTAAGGGCTCCATGCTGCGAGATTTCGATTGAACACCCCGCTGGTGTCCCAAGAGGTGTTCCACAAGTGTCCCAGTGCAGTTGTTCGTATTTCGGTTGCGCATTTTGTGGTGGCCCTTTGATATCCCGAGGTGCGCCAATAATTTCCTTGATGTCTTGTGAGTGTCCTGACAGCGAAGCGCGGCGCGGTCCTGCCAAGTCAACCGCAACCAATCGACGGAGTTCGCTGCTCATCTGTCACAACTGCAGCACGCCCTTTGATAGATTTTGCCAACTGCAGTCGCCACCTAGTGTGATGTACCTTCCTCGGCAACACGGCGCAGAAACAACCGGCAAACAAGCCTTTTATATCGCGAGGTTAGCACTAAACCCACGGCGCACTAACTCCAGAGCGTCCAAGTCGTTCCACACCAGCGGTGGCCATTTTTTTTGAATTGTCATGCTAAACAGCATATGATGGGTTCTCGCTTACGATTTGCACTGCTGGCCCTCGGTGTTTCGGCATTCTGTTTGTCAAGTGTTGAGAAAGGGCAACAGCTCGTGTCCAACACTATTGGAGATCATTTGGCACGGTTTTGGTTGATGTTGGTAATTTGGGGCGGTTGGTTTGGGATGTGTCGTCCCATGCCCGAATACACAACTGGCAGGTTCAAACAAGCATATGTGCGGTAATCTCAGTCGCATATATTCAAATTGAAAGCAGTGCGGCCTTTTCTGTCATGGCCTTGCGATTCGAAATAAGGACGACGCATGCTGTCCACACAAAAGCTGGCCATGCCCTAAATTTGATTAAATTGCGGCCCATTGGGCGAAAAAGTCTGCACATCCTGCCCCAAGTTGCTAACAAGAGCAAAGGGCGGACAATCAAATGGGCAAATGTGAAACATTCAAATTGAACACCGTAATTGTCTGGCAACGTCTCGCAAAGCCTCAACTGGCTGCAAACACAAACAAACGAAAACTCAACATCCAAAGAAAAACTGCCTTGCCAAACATCAGCATGAACACAAGAAACGCAATTCCTTAAACTTCCAAGAAGTGGTTGAACCAGGATCCCAATTTTCCCTTCATCTTGGCGTTTGTGAGACCGAGTTGAGGCTTGAGTCTCAAATCAGCCCAAGCCGCGAATGAGGAAATATTCACACACAGCTCAAAACAGCACTCCTGCCAGTGATGCCTTCCAATGCCTAGGAGCAGTTAGCGACAGGAGGCGGCGCAGGGTTGCTTTCCCTTCCAGCTGCCATAGTTGGGTTGTCCATCACATGGGTTGTTGCCATCCATGTACTTGTCATCGTCTGTCAAGCAGCTGGTGGAGCCCTAAGTGCAACTTGAAAGGCCGGACAGTAACCCGTTTCCAAGTGCGCGAACCCAGGAACTCCTCGTTTTCACAAATGTTCAACAATGAAACACGAGCTGCGACCCAGCTGCAGGGCAAGGATACGTAGTCTCGCCGTCCCACTTGTAGAACCTGAACCAGTCGTACTCGCTGGTCATGGGGTACCGGTTGTTGTGGATCTGCTTCCCACCGAAGTTCGCGGGGGGGCCGAAGATCCACAGGTTCATCATGACCTTGGCAGACTTGTCGGGGATCGGTGGCTGACCTCCATGGTGCTCGCGCACCACCTTGCAGGGGTCTGAACCCTGCAAAATAACGTTCACAACCTACCCTCGGGACACCATTTTTGTTACTCAGGACTTTCGGAAGGTGGGCGTGCATCCATGTGTACAAACATATCTGCGCATATGTATATGTATATGTGTGTAAATTATATTCAATATGAATATATATGTATATATGTTTTCGCTTTTGGTGCGGCCTCGCCTTGCCATCAATGAACCAGGTCACCTTGTTGGGCAGCCACTCGAATCCATAGGTGTGGAACTCCGCGCGGGCGTTGCCCTCCTTCAAAGTGCTCTCCCTGGACGCGGCGATGCGGGGGCTCCACCACTCCGTGTTGTCCGCCCGCAAGACGTTGGTCGTCACCGAGGTCGGGGAGTCCCCGGTGACCTCGATGTCGATCTCCCGCCAGTGCCGGAACTTGGCGTCACGGAACACGAACCTGCACTGGGATTTGTTTTTTAAAGCTGGAAGTCCTCTTCGGCGCACTTCCCAACGGGCAGTTTGGGCCGGGGAATGGGAAAACGCTGAATATCATTCACTTCATTGGGCTGCTTCTTGCACAGGCGAAAAATATGCAACCAAACAAATTTGATAGTTTGCTCGTTTAAACATGAATCCAAGAAACATGGTTGCCACGAAGTTCCCGTTGATGTCAGGATTCCCTGGCTGCACCTCCGGGGCCTTCATGCGCACCTCGCAAAAGCTGGCCCTTCAACCTTTGGCTTTCCCCTCAAAAGGGGGGGACTGGGAGCTGGTGGGCTGTCCAAACAACCCAGAGGGTCCAAGTACCTACTGAGGGTGGAGTTTTTGTGGGGTAAAAAGGGGTTTATGTACCTCCTTCGAAGGTACTTGGACCCAAGAAATGCCTGCCTCATAACGCCCGTACCGGAACATGTTCCTGCGAGATCGGAACTCCCCGCTCACCAGCGGTTTGTTGTCCACCTTGAAGACTTCCGCGCGAGAGCACGACTGCGTGGGGATGCCGGGGTTGGGCTTGGCGGTGATTTTCATCTTTCCACCAGAGAAACTGATCTGTTGCTTCACAAAACGTACATCGCCTTCATAGAGCCCGCCATCCGACCAGGTCCAAATGGGGTCCGTATCAAGGTCGATAGGAGCGTTGAACTCCTCCACCACAGCCAAGGTGAAACCAGGATAGCTTGGATACCTGCCGGTAGTTTCGGCGCCCCAAGAGTTATAACAGTTGTGAAAATTGATGAATGAAACATCTATTTCAACTGTGCCCGGCCAAAACCCTCAGTAAGTGACCTTGGCAATCACCCTATGATGCGCGGACACTATGAGAAGGGCAAACACCTATTCGGATCGGGGGACATCATTTACTGCCACCTACCATTTTTGACACCTTTCCCATTACATTTATATGGCCATCTCATCCCAGCTACGTTTTGGATGGGTCTGGATGTCCCGCGATGCCATGGCTCTTGGCAGTGACGGTAGTGGGTGCCGTGGGTGCCGTGGGTTGCGGTTTAGAATCTGCTGAGCAGCTGGCCTCAGTTCGTTGGAGCGCTGACAGGTGGAACAATCAACGTGTATGACATAAACATCGCGACAAACTAATTACCGTCCCAACGCAACACCCACGTTTGTCAAACCCACACTTGAGCAGGGATCCTTACATTATACACCCTTGTAAATGGTGGTGAAGCCATGTTTCAAATGGGCAAAATGCATCTTTTAAGGAGCCGTTGAGATTTGAATAGATGTGTTTGTTCACAGGACATTTATTTTTCATACCGATCCACGCACAAAAACAACCTGTCCGAAAGGTCGAACAACTACATCGGAATGTGTTTCAAACCCAGAAACGCACTGCCAAGTCTCCACATCACGGCAGCAATTGCCATAGTCATGACATCGCGAATTGCCTAAGTTCATGCCTTACACCCTCCAATCCCATTCCGTCGCATCACTTCCCACACAATTCGTTGTTCCCTGTCTTATGCCCTTTGGAACCTGCTCACAATGTCCCCAACCTGGTGGCCTGGCCTTGAGGAAATCCTTGACAAAGTCCAAGCCGAGTTGCATTGGCAGTGCATGCCCGGTTTATAATCGCGCGGGCAGCCTGCTGACATACAGCTTCCCCATTCCGCCTTGCAGCATAGCATTCATGGCATGTGTTTGGTTTGCATTGCCGCTGCAATGCGTGATGTGACAATGCGCATAGATAACAAATTAGTGAAACAAAATCTGGTTATTTTCAGTTTTGTAAACGCCTTGGATTGTTTGCTGTCAGCAACTTTGAATCTTGTTCGATTTAGAATCGACGACCACAACACAATACGTCACTTTCAGTATGTTTGCAAATCTTGCGGGATGAATTCCCTGACGTGGATGAACCATGATCAACGTCGCACATCCGTCAATGCCATGTGCAAAAGTATGCAACGGGGTCAAACGTGTCGAATCTTCGCCTGCGTTTTGGCTTGCGCAGTCTTGTTTCCACGCAACTGCCGCAACGAGAGGTCGCAGCTGTCACCGACGCACTCGTCGGCGGTCAAAAGTTCGTCAAGGTTGCCTGAAGCAGCACAAAAAACATGTTTCAATTCGATGTCAACATCCTAGGCCCACAAGAAACATAGAAGTGCTAGATTTAGGGTTCTGCCATTGCATCAGCCGTGTTGCCCAGGTCGTTGCCGAGAACACGGCCCATGAGGCCGGCGAACAGCAGCTTGGTCATGGTGCACATGGGCATATCGCTGTAATGTGAAAGGCGCTTGTGGCACAATAAAAGAGAAACGTCCAATATGGCTGCAGCAACCGCACATGCACGATTGCAAGCATGCCCACTTGCCAGCTGCATGAGTGACACGTCATGGGATGATTTTGGGTTCGTCCTGCCCCCCCCAAGTGTTGTGATTACCCTCTCAGCTGAACCTAGGCCCCATGCCAGCGTTCCTGCCAAGAATCCTGAAAAGGCCTCAGTGTCGCCAAACAACAACATGAGGTGTTTGTGTTTGCACGTAGCCCTGCAACAACCCGCGACAAAACACCCATTCGACGCGTGACACGCATCTTTTTCTGTTTGCAAAAATGTCTTGTCCAACCTCTTGGAGAAAGCCACTTGCACCAAAATGCGCTGAGTTCGGCCACAGCAAGTGTCAATGATCGTCTGGGCACCAGCAAAATGTCGGATCTGTGATTTTTTGACCCCGAGGCTCTGACCGCAGCTTAGCCCGCTTGGTGAGCCAGCCACTGATCAGCACTCGCTCGAGGGGGTCGCGACTGGGCAACACACAGAGCGTGTCAGCGTCTGCCGATAAAGTCGTGTGGACTGCTGGTCGTTTGTCTGCCAATTCGCACTCGCACGAGGCCCACTTTGGGCCGCACCACGCAGCCTTGGTGAAAGAGCCGCTGCTGCGCCTGGATTGGCAAATCCATCTGAACAGAATCTCGCAACAACCGTTGTGGTGTTCCCGAGAATGACCACCATGAACTGGTTCCCAAAATTGCTGACACCCTCCACACCAAGGCTGGCAGCCACTGCCCAAGCCCGTGCCCGCCTCCTCTCGCCTTGCGATCCACGCTGGACTCGCAAGCCCTCTCGCAGGAAGTTGTCAACAGCCTTGGCAACTGACATCAACGACTTGAGGCATCCAACAGCTACCGCTTGTCCAACCTCTGCCATGTGACAACCGAATTCATTAAAGGCAGTAGGAAATGATCTCTTGGCTAGGAATTCCTTGGGTAGGCACGGCCTTCCCTGACTCGGCAGTGAGCATCTGTTAGCACAGGACAGGCTGGCCAAACGTGAAGAAGGGTGCTGCCCCGAACCCCCAGCTCGACACCAGGTGCTCCACCTTCACAGGCTCTTCACAGGCTGCAATTTCGCCGCTGCTCAGCCTCCAAATCACGGTGTCTCCAACTGGGGATGCCTTCAGACTGGGTGGCTTGAATTTTGGCTTCTCTTCAAATAACATAAGCAAAAAGTCACCCTCGACAAAACTACCATGACGCTGCGCGCTCCTAGCACAAACAAACAGTTCATAAGGGCCGGTTCCTCGGATGGTTGTGGTCAGGTTGAACCCCTTTTTGAAGCAACGCCGAATCCTTTGCTGTCTCATGGAACTGCTCCTCGGACCTGGTCTGCGACTCGGCTGGGGGCTTCGGTGTCCGTGGGCGCATGTTTCTGGCTGTTTAGCTGTAAAAAAACATCAGGCTGTTCAAAACAACCAAGATCCCTGAGCTCCCCTGTAGCCCTTTCATCCTCCCCCAGTAAACTACCCAACAGCCCGTGCCAATCACGGATTGGGCCCGGTAGGTGTCGTATGAACCTGGCCTTGTGGGCTTCTCGTTGTGTGCGCAGGACACCTGGCAATGACCGCTCGCAAAAGACCAGAGCTGCTTCTGAGTTCAATGTTTGAGGCCCAGTTTCAATGCAGCGGGAGTACCACGTGCCTGGGCCCCTGGATTGCCTATAACAAGCCCAGCCCTTCTGTGTTGCCAACACCGAAGGTGACTGGCAACATGCATCAAATCTTGCACTTGCTGGTGTGGAACAGTACAAACCCATATGCCATGATTCCCTTTGAGCAACCTTGGGGGATTCCACATCTTTGGGCACACGCTGCAGCTTTGCAGCTTGACCAATGGAGGGGCTCTCCCATTCCTCGTTATCCGCAATTCGTGACAAGACCAGGCTACAGCAAGGGAGGATGAAGGGTTCATTTCGAAAGGCGCAAATCAAAACCCACTTCAAAAAGCCGTCGGATCCTCACGTGTGATACGAGGTGCTGCCTCTTCCTCCCCCAGGCCAGCGATGGCCGGCAACAACTCGTGAATCCTCCTTCCAAAGCGAGGTGCTGGCAAAACGCAGCAAGGAGAAGAGGAGAAGCCATGGGATGAGTGCATCCAACCTGGCCCATTCTGTCTGCCAAGTAAGCAGCTTCCAGCTTTTGAAATACGACCAACCCCTCCACCTGCGCTAGAATCAAACCAAAAAGGTCCACATCTGCCGAAACCAAGGCAACTAGCCATTGAATCAGACCCAAACTCTGGGCGAAACGCCCTCCCCCGGGCCAAGTGAAAGCTCGCCAGCTCCTCTGCTTGAAGCCGCGGGTGACTCCGAAGCCCTGGATGAAGTGCCCCCCCAGCTCCGCCAACTCCAGGGCCATGGCGCCCTCCTTCGGATCCCGACTTTATCGATTCCGCGGATGCGGAACCAACCCCAACCCTTAAGTGCATGCAGCCCATGGACTAAAAATATGAGCCAACAATCACGCATGTTCTTGTTGAGTGGAAAATGAACCAACATTCTTCCGCCCCCCGCCCCCGCCTGCAAGACCTGATATAGCGGCCACAAACCCGAATGCAGACTTATACAACCCGAAAATGTCCCAAAGACCCCCACACAATATATCTAGCAAAAATAACAGAAGCCTTGCAAGCGATCCACACAAACAACATTCCTCAACGCATGCCCGAAACCATCCCCAGAACATCCTCACGAACAAAGCATTCCCAAAGACATGCCCAAAGGCATCTCCGAAGACATCCCGCAAGCGCCCAAAAGTCAGCCCCGAAGAAATTTCCCAAGACACCCCCAAGACGTTCCAAACAAATACCGTGGACGACATCCCCAAAAGATATGTTGACATGTTCTAAAAACAAAGGTTCCACAGACATCTCCAAAAGCGTCCAAAAGCCACCCTTCAAGACACAACCCAACGACGACCCAATGACTGTCCACCAGAGAAATCCGCCACCGACATTTTCTGAAAAAACTGAAGAATCCCAAGATATCTTGCGAGACATGCCCAACCGCCAAGACATCCCCAAAGACATTCCCCCAAAACACCTTCAGAAGACTTCCCTTGAAACATCTGAAAGACGCCACCCAAAATCCGCAAGGGCATCCTCAAAGACATCCCCAGAGTCACCCCCAAGGGCATCGACATCTTCAAAGAAACCCCCAAAATACCCTTAACCGCAAAAGGAAACCCCAAAACATCCCCCAAAGACACATCCACGCAAACATCCTCGAAAGACGTCCCCCTGACCAAGGACATCGACCAAGACAACCACCCAGACGTCCCCAAAACAGACATCCTTCCAACACCCGCCCAACACGGCCGCAAAGACGCTTTACAGAAATAAACATATCCACCAAAAAACACTGCAAAAACAACCCCCACAAATATCCCCCCACAGACATCCCAAGATCCCTCCCAAGATAACCCCAAAAACATCCTCGGAGGACCCCCCATGTCCAATGGAACCTCGTTCTGAACCAACTCAATTCGCTCATTCGGATTGCTTCCAGCCATTGCGCGCTCAGCGAGATGTCCGCCCTAGCTGCTTTTTTTTCTGGCCCACATGGACCACCCGGACCTCCCATCCTCGATGTGGTCGGGCCAATTGACAGAACCTGTTTGTTGCTCAAATGTCGGCTGTTGCGACTCCTGACGCCTTTCTCGCCGAGCACGTTCTCTAGCAGTTTGACTGCGGCGCTCAACCTCGTAGGGCCCGACGCGTCCTCGAAACATGTTGTTCAAAGACCTTGGTTGCTTCCCCAAAAACAACGCCCAAGAGAACCGCAAAGATATCACCAAAAACACCATCCCCAGAAGCAATCTCCACACGACACCTTCCCCAAGACATCCGCACAAGACACCTTCCAAGGACATTCCAGGGCTCCCATAGTACTGGGCATGCCACGAAATCTGCGCGACAGCTCCCAAAGTACAACAAAATCAAACTTTGACACGTTTACAACACGCGTCCAAAATTAGTACGGGACTGTGGCGCCAGAATGATTTCGACCGAGTTGGCTCAATTCTGCATGACACTCGTGACACTCGCGCAAATGCTTGCATCCTGAATTTCTGGCATGGGCTTAATAACGGTGGAACATTTAGTGAACACAGTAGACACTAGCTCAAAAAGCCAAGCCCTGCCCTCGAGAACAAAGCCAGCAAACCCCGTCCATCTCTATGTCAAAGGCAGGCTGGTTAGGGTCATCTGCAGCGTCCATCTCGATCTCCCGGTCAACCTTTCACGATGGCAGCATGCCGCATTTGGTTGCAGGCTGCAGGCAGGAATTTATATAACAAAAACAAATGCCACAGTTTCAAACAGTCTCAACAAAGATTGTAAAGCTCGCTGCCAATCCCACTTTCAAACAACCTTCACTGTTGCTGGCTTCATTCCCACTGGGTCGCTGTGCCGAGTCATCTGGACATTGCTTTTCCGGGCCAACTTGTCGTTTTGGCCTGACCTTCGGCGTTTGCTAAAGTCACGTGTGAGCAGCTGCATCGCATGCGCGTGTGGCTAGGCAATCTTGTGGATCCAGCAATGGAACAGCACCTCAGTCACACAAACAATCAAGAACATCTCCAAAGGGACCTACTTCAAACGGTGCACGCTGGGGCCGCTCTCATGGCTTCCTTGGGTGCACGAACTGGGGCCCCGGGCTCCAATCAGCGCTCCCCCCTCCTCCACGATAAAGGCCTCCCTGTTTTGCTTGGACCGGGCAGAGGCCTGACATCAGTGCTGCTCAAGAGCAGCTTTGCTAAGCTGCATTGCCACATCTGGAGAAATGCTAGCGCGGCATCAGTCTCAATGACATACATCAGCGTCACTTCATTCGTTCAAGATACGCATCCTGCTGCTTGGGGCAGACATGCGCTTCTAGTGCAAAGTGCAAGTCTAAAAGCCCAATATTTTCCACCATGCCCAGCACAGCAGGACATTCCGGATTGCGTCATCAGCTCAAGACATCAGAATTCTCACACCAATTAATCTGCTCATTCTGGATAATCTATCCGTCTCAGGAAAAGGAAGTAATGATCGTAAGATGCCTTCCTCACTAACCATGCTGATTGCTTTCTGGCCGTGTGCAGTCTTGGCGAGCACCACAGGGCTGCTTGGAGAACATCCATGTCAGCCGCCACCAGAAAGCTGATCTTCTGCGATTTCTGCGTTTGTTCGAGCCGACCTGGTCGGCTCGAAGGTTGCTTTCGCTTCGCCAGCCGTGGCATCCAATAGCCTGCCCTCAACTGGCCGAGTCCTGCCAGTCCTGCAGGAAGCCCACGCATTCGGCTTGGTTCTCTGCCTTGGCCTTGTCCAACGGCGTCTCCCCTGCCTGGTCCTCCGCACCCAGCGCGATGCCCAGCTCGGCCAGGATGCGCAAACAGCCCGCTTCCCCTTCGGCCGCCGCCAGGTGGGCGGGCGTGCGGCCGGCAGCTTCCATAGCATCCAGGCGAGCACCCAGGACATACAGGCACCGCAAACACTCGGCGTGCCCGGCCGCCGCTGCCTGAGGCCGAAACCGCACCTCATATTGACATGGCCGAAGAGTGTCAAAAAAGGAATCCGATTAGTTGATTCCCGCCCTCAGGCCTTGTGCGCTGGCCGTTCCCCTTCCAGGTCCTCGTCCTCCAGCATGCCGTCCAGCACCTCCAGACTGGCCACGGACCCGCTGAGCGCCGCGAAATGGGCTGGCCCCCAACCCTCCTCGAGGCTCTGTGGCAAAACTTGTGGTGGGCCATTGCAGATAGCCACAAAGAACGTTCGCTCCAACCTGTTTGATATGTTCCTTGCATCCTTTGTTGTCATTTTGCAGACTTAGGCTGCACATGCCCATGAACGAGCAGCAAGGCTTTGTGGGCTGGGCATGGGTAAAAAGAAGGGCACGGACGTGCGGGCAGCCAATGAATTATCAAGAGGCATCGTTGCACCACCAATCCTGCATGCTGTAAAATATGGCGCCCACTGTGTCTCTCTCTCTCTCTCCCTCTCTCTCTCGCTCTCTCTCCATCTCTCTTTCTTTCTCTCTCTCTCTCTCTCTCGCTCTCTCTCTCTCTCTCTCTCTCCTTCTCTCTGTCGATGCAAGCCTTAGGCAATCCTTTTCTCAAACACGTAGCTGGCATTCTCCAGCGAAGGCGTGAGCGTGCGTGCCTCGGCAAAAACTACCTGCAAGAGGGGGCAAGTCATGCCTATGTCGCGTTTTGAGGTGGTCAGCGTGCTAACGGTTGGCGTACATCAGAAACGCTGGGACATTGCCGGGGAAATAACAAAAAGTAAAAAGGGACGAGACAGCAACCAGAGGAGTCACGACAGACGGAATTGAACACGTTGAAGTGTGGAGAGAATAGATCGGAATTGGGAGCTAAGAAGAGGAACTGGCAGGAAGGAAAAGGGGCAGAGAAGAGCGGAAACAAGCACAGGGGGCACAAGAGCGAAGGCAAAGGATAAAGCAGAGATAAACCTAGAGAAAGAAAGGAGAAAAAAACAACAAGTGAGGAGAAGAGCGGACAGAAAGCGGAGAAAGGAGCAAAGGGCAAGCCGGGAGAAATGCAAGCAGGGAAACACAGAGAGAGAGAGAGAGGGGTCAGAAACAGGGGAGAGAAACAGGAGAGGGGGTCAAACTTGGGAGCAGACTTAAGCAAAGAAGAAGCAGAGGGAAGAGCAGCGGATAAAAATCAAGCTGAACTAAAGAAGCGCGGATTCAGAGAGAAGAGAGTTAATTGTCGGGTTTGCCTTTTTCCCCAAAATGCCAAACGGCTTTTGGACGTTGCCCTGAAACATCGCTGCCAGAGGTTGTGCTCGCTCCTCATTGAGGACCTCCAGCGCGCCCAGGTCCCGCAGCTTCACCAGGCTCGCCGCCTGGCCCGCCGCCGCCGCCGCGTGCGCGGGCGCCCAGCCGTCCGCGTTGAGGCCCGAGAGGTCTGCGCCAAGCTCCGCCAAGACGTCCAGGCAATCCAGGTGGCCCTGCGCCCCCAAAACAAACCCAAAGGATCCGGGCTCACGACTTATGATGTCAGCTTGAAGCAACCTTCTCTGACCTGCTGAAGCGGTGAGAGTCAGCCATTGTGATCATTGCCTGGATCTTTGTGGGGGCACCTCGACAGCCTGGTGGCAAACCCAACCACAAGCACGACGCCTCGCAATCATGAAGGACGCAGTTCACTAGTGCAAGTTGATTGCATCGGCCTGCCTCGGCCTGCCCAGGGGAGGACGTTTTGCCGCTCAAAACAACGGCACTTCTATTGGCTAGCCGAGCGTGGCTTCCCCAGGCCCGTCCTCCTCAGCCGCCCGCTGGGCCGCACCCTTGAAGGGGTCCTCGGCCACGCGAAACGAAGCCAACACCAAGATGGAAACCAAATGGAAACCGGAAAAGGATGCAAAAGGGGCATAACACCTCTGCAAATGGAAGAGGAAATGTCGCCTTCCAAAATAAATGTGTTCAACGAGCCTTCTGATCGTGCTAAGACAAACCGAAATGGACTCAAAGAGGGACGAGTATGCAGATGACTGAACCAGGGTTCGTTGATCAAAGGGAAATTTAGGCTGTGGACATTTTGCCTCCCCCACTTGAGTTCAATTTTTATACTGCTTCTTGATGCTTGACATTGGGCCCCAGCGTGCCCCAAACACACAAAACCACCTCCAAAACCCACCATCCAATCCCGAAACCCGCATCCTTTTCTTGGCTCACTCAAGATGAGCAAACTGAGAGCGGGCAGTGCTTGCAAGGAGAGCGAAGCCTTCATGCATGACCTCTTCCGGGCCACTCAGGGCCTCGAAGCGAGCGATGCTATACAAAGACCTGGAGCCATTTGTTCGGGGTGGAGGTTTCAGTGCAAACCCCACACCCAAACCCAAACAAAAAACCATCAGCCAAAAAACACACACACACCAAAAACAAACATCAGCAAAAAAAAGCAACACATGGGCGAGGCTTCAGCAAGTCGCAACCTCGGGCCCTGCTTGGCCCCTCCCCCAGCGTAGCTCCCCGCTCCTCTCGGTCTCGCAGCAGCTCCCCGCACGCGCGGAGCAGCGAGGCGAGGCCCCGCAGGGCGCAGAGCTGCGGCGCCGTGGGCCGGTCCTCCGGCAGCAGCTCGGCGCCTGGCAGATGCCCAGGGCCATGGGTCAAAACCCAAATCGTAGCCCCAGTGAACGGGACCCAATCCAACTACGAAAAAAGGTTCTAAAATGGGTGGTGAATTCACTTATCCCAAAATGGTACCATTGGTTTTGAACCATGGTCATGGCAGTTGACTGTTTGGAAGACCCTAGGAACTGCCCCCCCCCATTAACACACTGGGGTTGGTTCATATGGGGTCACCACGGACCTTTCCAATGGAAGTCAATGGTTTCCAATCAAAGTCGGCAGTTTGCAAAAAACAAAAAAAAACTCTTGAAAAGGCCTCCACTTCCACTTTGAAGAAAGAGCAAGGACGGCTTTTTGAGTGCCATGTTAATCTGACTTGCGATCGTACCGGAGCCTCTGGGCGCCCAAGGCGTGTGGGGGACAGTTGCACAAGGTGTCATCTTGGGTGGGGTCTGCTTGTTGGGCCACGGTGGGCCACTGGTTGACAGCAATGGCGGCCAACGTAATTAGTTCCACGCAGATGGTGATCAAATCCTTGGGCCGTTGCATGGCAGTAAGCCTTTGGCTGAGACTGGAAACTTGCCAAGTTTGCCATGCGGATGTTGACAAGGACGTTGTCAAGGCATTCCACAAGGCGACTGAACGTCGGCCTCTGTTAACAGAACCGCCCTCTGCAAACAGAACATGCATAGTGCAAGCTGTGAAAGGCCAAACAGCCTTGAACAAGAAGAAATGACACGAGCAAAAACACGCAACAACGATTGAGGGGCATCATTATCCTCGCAAATTTGCGAGTTCCCCCCTCTGCCGCCTCTGCCTCTCAAATTCCCTTCCGTACTGAACTTGAAATCGTGTCCGGAATGCATGGTTCGGCGGATTCATGATGTTCAAGAAGCATCTGGACCTTGTGGTCCATGACCACACCATGACTCAAAAACCAAACCCTAAAAGGTTACGGCTACAACCTATGCCCTACCGCCCTACTGGCCCAAACGTCTAGACCTTCTGTTCGGACCTTGGCCTGCCTTCCGCATGCAGGCGTCGTAGCTCGACCTGGAGCTTTGAGCCAGCCAGCCCGCTTGGCCGAATGAATTCATCAATCTCAACTTGAGATGAGCTCTTGGAGGCACCCTGCTGGTCCGACCTGTTCTGCATTGATCTCGCGCGAGATCAAAGCCCCTAGCAAGTGAGTGGAATGTCTTAGAACCGGGGGGAGGGCGCGCCTCATCTGCGAGCAGAATTGCTGACAAGACTGGGTCCTCATCATCCGTCTCCTGGGCAACATGTTTATTGAGCCCACACAGGTCACAGCGTCTTCAACATCTGCTACATCAAGGAAGGTTGCATATGCCAAACTCAGGCCTGGTAGCAATGGGTGCGTAGCAACAATCGGTAAAGGTCTTTTGATGTTTCCTCGCGCGGGTTTTTGTTGAGGTTTGCAACATCCCCAGCATCACCTGGACCAGGACTTTCTGGGTTGGGGGCAAGAGGCGGCACCCTAAAGCAACTCTGCTGCCAAACCAGCAAACAGCTAACACAAATCAGCTCCGCCAACCCAAACCCACCCAAAGTCAACCCTAAACCCTTTCCTTCGCCTAAATGAACCTCAAACCACCCCAATAATCCACTTGGTCAAAAAAATACGCAGCTATTGCTGGACCGTTGCCTTGACTTCCCTTTGAAAACTGTCAACAAGGACAAGCTTAGCTTTGCCTCTTTACCTTATTGCGCAGGGGGCTTCATGCGCTGCACTCCTCGTCACTCATCGCAGGCCCGCAGAGGATTCAGCTGCGCTATCTTCCGCGGACGTTTTGCTTGAGAGGATGCATGTGATGGCGGGCTGCTCGGAAAGAAGGTTCCCAAAATGGGTGATTTCCCGTTTGAATTCCCCTTTTATAAGCCTCCCAAATGCTTAAACGCATGCGGACACAGGGGGCAGGCCCCTGCAACACGATGGTATCTTGACCAACGCGCTCGAATGGTCGCCCATGGTATGATAGCGCATTTGGGTTATGCTGGTGGACGGCCCGAGGGCGAGTGATGGCTCGCGCGCGCTTTGGCGTCGGCGCAGCACCCTGGACTGATATGAGAGCTGCTGGCGGCGGCTGCACTCCCCGCCCTTGAAAACGAGAAGTCAAGAGTGCCTTCATTCTTCGGGGGAAAAGGTGAAGCTTGCAAACAATGAGGCTTTGCCTGTACTCCGAAAGAAGTGGGCTTGCTTGAAAAGTCGGGGGCGCCAAGGGCACGTTGCCGTCAAGCGGGCAGTTTGATCAGCGTACCCCTTGGAACAGGCGGAAGTGTCCTGGGTACAAAAAACAGGGTTAAACGGTTGTTCACCAACATAGGTCTGACGTAATAGAAGAAAAAAACGGTTTGGCCGTGCTGTCCGGCGTGGGCTTCGCGAGCCTGAAGTGCCCCCTCCCCCCCCGGCAAAACACTGACTCATAAGCGTGGACAATGCCAGACTTGCTCACCAGTTCAGGATAGGGGCTGAAGCCTCCGCCGTGTGGCTGGGTTCACCTTGCTCCTAGTCCACAAGGCCACTACAGCAGGAAGGCACTTGCGCCTGGTAGACGCTGGTCCGCAGGCACCCTGCTCCAATCCTTGCATGTCGAACTGCCCTTGTGGGCACAAAGCAACGGCTGAGGAGTGAATGTGAGGCCCGAGGCTAGCCATGGCTCATGGAACGCCAGCAGCCCTCGCATTGAGCATTTTTCTGGTTAGGTGGCAGGTTTCCCTTTGTTCATGTCACTGATTCTTACCTCTTCGCAAGCAACATTTCACACAACCAACGAGGTTACCACCTCTGCCTTTCGGCGAGTAAGTGCCAAGCTTGGCCACTGAGGTCCACTCGCCCGTGGCCTGGCGCTCGCGTGATGTCACTGGCAGGGCAGGGCAAGTGCAGCAAGTTTGTTTGGAACATGAGCAAGCAATGCTGGGGCAGGCAAAGGGTCGGGGACGGCTGGGATGGGGAGAAGAATCCAGCACAGCTGGCTTGCAGGTACGGTTCTGGAGGGTTCTGGAGGGTTCTGGAGGTTCTGGAGAGTTCTGGAGAGTTCTGGAGGGTTCTGGAGGGCTCTGGAGGGATGATTCATGTGGTTCGGGAGGGGTTGTGGAAGTTCTGGTTGGTCTGGGCTTCCGACTGGTTCAGAGGGGCTACGGGTGGTGTGGAGTGGTTGCTGGATTGGGTTGCGAAGGGTTCCCAGGGGTTCAGGGTGGTTCGGTGCCGCCTGTTGCAGGCTAGGGTTTTTGGTTGCCGATGGGGGCACCTGGGCTTTTTTTGTTGACGGGGGGTTGGGAATCCGGGGCACGTGTAGGACGGAAGCAACACGGAAGGTGCTGATCTGGAATAAGCTCAGGTGATATCCCCAACAGCATTTTTTTGCCAGGGCATCCTTTCGGCTTCAGCCCAACAGCATGCAGTGCTCTTTTTAGTGCTCGCACCACCCAGCAGCCCTCGCAGAACCTCGTGGAACCCTGGTGGAACCCTGGCGGAACCCTGGTGGAACCCTGGTGGAACCCTCGTGGAAGCTTACCTCAGGGCCGCCCCGGACCACCCTGGAGCCTATCTGGGCTGAGACCCCAAAGCTTTCAGCTGTTGGGGAAAAACAATAAATAGCGTTTAATTGCTGAAAAAAACAGAACCATGTGACGGCCGCATTTGCTCTGCTAAAATGTGCCACCCGACCCCCCACCCCGTCACTTCCTCCCTCTGCCTCTCCCCCTCCCTCTCCCCCTCCCTCTCCCTGTCCACTTGCATTAGGATCAACATCCTGAGTCTTTTTCTGGCTTGGCCCTTTTGTGGCGCATAATAAAAGTTCCCTTGCACAAGTCCAACTAGGCTTAGATCATGCATGGTGCACTCAGAGAGGCCCTAAATAGCCTCATGCCAACCACTCAGAATCAGAAAGCAGGCATCTGTGAATAAGTAGCTCAATTCTATGACTAACTTGAGGCCACATGTGGCAGCCTAATCTCTGGTTTCCACCTAACTCTCCTGTGTGGAAAGCGGTGCAACATCCATGATCGTAAGCTCGCAGCGCATGTACAGTGTGCAGAATGGAAAAGCAGCATTAAAGGAACTGCACACAAGGGCTTGGATGGCTCGACATCTTGCATCTTAGCACAAAATGGCAATCAGCCCCCTCGCAGGCTGACTGCAGGTTTGGCTGTCATACAAATACAATGCAAGCTCTTTCTCGTGGGCACTGGATGGCACCATGAGTCCCTTGCCAACTCAATCGCCCCAAACCTGCTGAGCTCGAGGACTTGACATAGCCGCTTGGCGGCAGAGCGCTTCAGAACTTCAGCGCAGGTCCCTGACTTCGTCAGTACCAAAAAGGCGCCACCAAGAGCGGCGGTTCCTAACAAAGCAACCCCCTGAATATGAGTAAAACAAGCCAAAACAACAAAGAATACAAACACAAAAGAGTCATAGTTCCCTGTTTGAACTTTTGGACTAAGTGATTAGAGCAACGGGCCATCAGGCCTTGCAAACAGATCATTCCGCCTTCCACCTATGGCAGGACATCCCCCATGCTCTGACTCACCAAAGGTTTCTGCTGCTGGGGCCCCCTGTCACTCATCCAGATCACAAACTCCTCAAAATCCACAGTCCCGCTGCCGTCCAGGTCGATCTCCCGCCAGTAGCCTTGCCCCAAGGCTCTGCCCAACAAAATGTCCCAACCTCACAAAGCTGGGACGCGCAAGCCCCCGCATGCAGCGCCTCTCCAGGGTTCCTCAAAGGATGCATCCATTGAACCGCTAAACCTGCGGGCAAAACCCCAAGGGCAACATCTCAGCGAGGCTGAAATCCAGATTGTTAGCGGTTAACCTACCCAGGCCAGTTAAACGTGCAATGCTCGTGAGTGTTCATTACCATTTGCATCCTGGGGACCAAGCCAATGCCCCAGTTTCCATTGTCCAAACCGAAAGCTGCGACACTAACAGGAAAGAGCAAAACAACACCCTCGGATTTTGAGAAAAGCGGCGCTCCAGCCGCTTCTGCGGCACGTCACTTGGGTCCGACACCTTGAGGATGCCGCGGATCACGTGGGCAAACCTGACGGAGGCGCAACCCAGGAGGCAAACCGCTGTGAACAGCAGGTTTGGGCATGTGCCGAACGGCACATGGGATCGGCCGCTCTAGCTGTCTCAAAGGGCAACTCTCCCTTCCAACATGTCCCAAAGCAATGGAAATAGGGAGGCGCCGGTTGCCCACAGCAACCCTTGAGGCCCGCACATGTCTTGGGTGATGACCTCAGTGCTTGACAGGGCCAGAAACTCCACCGCGGCTGTGCCATTCTGCATTTCCGCGATTGTAGGCTCGTTAGAGGACGTCAGAGGTTTGGGCCGGCGCGGCCGTTCACATGAACAAAGCAGGCAGGAATTGTTGCAGCCAAAAGTCGTGTTTTTTCTCAAGGTCGTAGCTGTCGAAAAGCCGCCGCATTCTCTCTACGTCGAGAAGGTGCAATCCTGGATCAAAGAGCTTCAAGCTTTGAAGCTGCCACAGAAGTTGCTGAATGCGCATTGCTGCGGTCTAGCTGCCCAATTTTCGTGCCAGCCTTCGCGCTTCTCGATCTCGGTCCTGATTCAAAGCTCCGGCACATGTCAAGAATGACCGCGTGAACTGGGGGAGCCCTCCTCACAATCCAAGGCGAGCTTTGACGGTTCATTCACTTTCAAAAGATGAGCGATTTCTGCTCACCAGCTCGAACACAAAATGGCAATGCGCTTTTTGCCAAAGCTCGTCTCTTACCAGGAGATGCTCGGACCAACTCGCCCCTTGCGACCATCGCACGTACTCCTTGAAGTCAACCACGCCTTGGCAGCAAGCCTCAACCTTGCTGAGATACAAAGCCTCCCAACACATATGCAATTGCTTTATGTTTAAGTTGGAGCACCCACAGGTATTCTCATCTTGGAGTGCAAACTCACAGTTCGGGCAACTAGCCATTTCCACAGAGCAAATCACATGATATCAAGCAAAAAGGACTGTTTTGGCTGGCCGCGGTTGCCATCCATGTCCATTTGCGAGTACTTCAGTGCCAAGTTCTCCGGCAGTGGCTCATCGTCTGCCAGTTTGCAGGACCTGGCTGCCATCCCGAACGTCTGCATGGCTATCCAACAACCAAATGCAGTTGCTTCAAGAACCCCTCCGGTCGGCCAACGTATTTGCGCACAAGACGCTGCCACACAAATATACACCCGCCACAGAACCCTCGACTGCCGAGCCACCGCCGCACAGCCTTCTCAAACTCGTCGGCGCTCCTGAGACAGCACGCGTCTCAAATTCATCCGGGCGTTCAGGCGGCGTAGGCCCTCTGTTCAGGAAAGCTAGCAGTCTCCATCAGCCCGAAAGCGTGCGGTGCTGCCTGAGGCCTCCAAGCATGTTGCATGCTCGCTGCACTAAGCATGCCCTCTTTCACAACACATTCCGCCAAGCACAAGGTTTCTAGATTTCAAAACCTTACTACTAAACTCTGCTGCAGACATCTTGCGACGTGCGGCACGCAAACACAAACACACACGCACACAGAAACAAGCAAACACCTACAGATTCAATCTTCTTGCCCGCATGCTGAGCAAAGACTTTTTAGCCAAGCGGCAACGAGAAACTGTTGTCTAAGTCCAGGCTGCAGAAATCATCATAACCTTGCCAATCATGTCTGGGGCAACTCATTAACATGCAATGCGCGGGCTACCATTTAGAGGCCAACAGGAGCAAAAACATCAACAAGAAAGGATGCATAGTGAGAAAACCATCAGCCAGCGTACCCTACAAATAGGTAGAGTTAGCACAACAAGTTGGTGACTTTTACGGACAATGGGTGGGCCAGAATTGGAGGGCGATGTGGTAAAACTGGGCAGGGAGACAGGGACAACATCCAAACTCCGGACCTGACACGAAAATCCCCAGAAACAGGCCAAAGAAATCAATCAAACAAATGTGTGTCATTGCTTTGATGCCTTTCCAAAAAAAAAAGTGGGTTGTATGAAAAGCACAGTGCTGGGGGCACTGCCCACTCACACACACACACAAACAAACAAACAAAGCAACCAAGCAAACAAACAAAGAAACAACCACACAAGCAAGCAAACAAGCAGCCAAACAAGTCAAACAAGTCAAGCAAGCAAGCAAGCAAGCAAGCAAGCAAGCAAGCAAGCAAGCAAACAAACACATGCAACACAAACTACCCAAACAACGCAAACCAAAACAAAACAAATCACACGTGCACACAAACATAAACATACAAACACATAAACAAACAAACAAACAAACAAACAAACAAACAAACAAACAAACACATAAATAAACAAACAAGCAACCAACCAAACCAACCAAACAAACCAACAGAAACCATCATTAAAAAAAAACAAGGCCAAGAGGCAGCGAAATCGAAACGATGCACTGATTTTCGGCTCGCGGAAGAAGCAGATTAAAGCCAAAACAAGGCTCATGGGCACTTGCGCGGCCAACCCCGAGCACGGCAGCTGGAGCCCACCCTGGCTCCAAAGGCATCCTCCAGAAGCTGCACAAAATCTTTCTGCGTCGATGGCTCCCAACCCCAACCCCTTCGGCATCAAGGCCTGGCACCAGTACCGCCGCACCGCAAAGCGCAGCATCCCCTTTCTCTAAGCACCCCCCCCCCCCGGCCGCCGATCCTACCACAAGGTCCCAATCATCACCCATTTCACCATGACCCTCAAGCACCCCACAGCTTCATGATCAAGACCCTCTACCAGCTCTCTACCCCCCCTCCTTCATGAAGTTCGAGCTATTCCGTATCTGCCTCGTGCACAAGTAGACACAAACAAACCACCGAGGACATCTTTTGTGACCACTACTGCTGCAACGACGA